CATACTGTGTCGCATAATACCTAAGACAGCACTACATTGAGATCATCATACTCCGTTTTTTTTATAAACTTTTTTTTTAACTTGCGGTTTTTGAATTCTCCGTATGCGAATCCATATTCTTCTATGTACTGGATGAAGGTGACTGTGTTCTCTGTTTCATGATCTGTCAAAAAAAAATAATGAGGGTGTGTGTTGATGTATGAATGTGGGTGGGTGTGGATGCGGGTGCGTGTGGGTGTACGGGTATGGCTGGATGTGAATGAGTGTCGGTGTGATTGTGGCTGTAGGTATGGGTGTGGATAGATCTGGGTATGACTGCGATTTTCGATCAGTGTATGTCTTTAGTTCACCCTCACACCGATGTCTACATCGGCCACCTAAAACATAAATTTACTCCCATCAACCCACCCAGAACCAGAATAGTACTCACATCCATGCCATCCTTTGTAAAATTTTCTCTTGTGTGGATATAATAATGAGCGAGGTGAATGGATCTACATGTCTTGGTGTAATTTATAAGAACACTGAGATACAAATAAGTTCAGAGTTTTATTGATATTATCTTTATTAAAATCACTTCAGATGACATATCCAATAGCATAAAGTTCTAATCCAACGTTCAGTCCCTGATTCAAATCCAACTTCAAAAAAAAGTGTAGGGTTATTGTTGCAGTAGGAAAATGGGTATATGTTCGAATCAATTGAATATGCCATTTGTGGATGTCAATGTGCTCGAATGAATTTGGTATCTTTATGTTCATTGCAATTGATGCACGTCCTGATATTGAATGTGAATCAGCATATTGTCGACCAGTAATTAAAAAAGCTAATATATTTATTTTTGTAATTGTGTTTGAGAAGAATGTTCGGATATCATAAGCAATGGTATGCAATATATTGAAACTGAAAGTACCAATTAATGAAGGTACAACACCTGGTTAGACGAGTGGAATGTTTGATTCCTCAAAGCGTATTGTGCGACTGCTTTTATGATTTATCCCAGCGAAAAATGTCATGTGTACGCATACAACGAAAATAAAATAGAATATTAGAAAAAAATCTTATTGTCATTTACTCTTTCTCGGTTCAGATTTCAAGCTGGCATTCGAGATGAAATACTTATATGAATTTGGACTGTTATTTCTAAAAACAAATAATACATATGTATATTTTTTTACTTCTCAAAGAAATTGAAGCATCAAATGAGAACAGTGTAAATGTTATCAAACCTATATATACGCAGACTAAAGAAGAGTACTTTCATGTCCTAATTTCAGGTAATATTAGTAACTTAAAAGAAATAGTTATTTCATGGTCCAAAAACTATTTTAAGAAAAATACTCAGACTTTCGCAAAGTTACTTCGCTTCAAAGTGGTGTGTAGAAGTGTAGAACGGGGGATGCCAGTATGTGTATTGCTGTCTATTTTTTTGTCCGTATTCATTGTATGTAATTATCACAGATAGCAACTACTAGAATAAAATCATAGATGATGAGCATATAATAACGAAAGAAAATCTATCACTTCTTTGTTATCACTGCTTACGTGCAAAAGTAAAATGAAAATAAAAAATGGACGTTGTTCTACTTAATGGCTGCTGCTTTGTATGATTTCTTTCAATCTCTTCAACGAAATGTTTATATTCCACACAATATACAACGGTTAGAGCATATATTAAAATATCGGAGAACCTACTCGCTTTTTTTTATAATTGTTTTCTCGAATACGAAATATTGGCTGTTTTTACTTTCGAGTCATAGAGGAACATAAAAATCGAGAAGAAACTCATTTCTATCCAGAATAAATTGTGTGAAGTGCAATTTTATCATTAAAGCTAACATGTACTGCTTTAAATACCGAAGTTCATATAACTGACATTACTTATCTACCAAACTGGTGATTAACAATCGTATCGACAGAGTGAAAGTAAGAAAGATCACTTCGATCTCTCGCTGTTCTTATCATGTTTCGATATAATCATCAACTAAAATCTCCAGGCCGTAAAACTCCTGAGTCAACCAAAAGCGCGAATACCTGAAAATGCTTTTCAACATTAAACTAGCTAAAATCTTTGTTTAGCATATCTAAAACACAAAAAGATTAGACGAATAGCCAACGTGCTCTACTAGAGAAAATCAATCATACAAAAGAAGTATTCTGTCATTGAATTCTTCGCTTTATAGATATCAAAACAGTGAAAAGTTGCAAAAGGAGCTAGGTGTTAATCCGCCGATTGAAGAGAAATTTGACTACTACATGAAGTTTTCTAGTGATCGAGTTAATCTAACAGATCGGAGACTTTTTATAGAACTCATTTCGGCGACCCAACAAGAAGAAAAGTGGCCAACATCCACAGGCACATCTATATCACAAATAACTTTTATCGTCCGATCTGTTTTATTCAAGGACCTCATCGTTATTATTCGCTTATGTTCTTGTGGCGTAAGAAGTTAACGGATCCAGCTTTTAACCAGAGAATTGATGGTTTAATTTTGTTCATCAATTGCGATTCCCAACCGTTTTGCTTGTCATTATTGAGTAAGATGCCATCACACATCATCATCACTATTGTTGAATATGTTCTCCGAGTCCATTTAAGAGCAGTTCTCCATTTTTTTTTCGTTCATGAGTCATTATGAAACACTTCATTCAGAGAAAGAACTAGAAAAGTGATATCATCATATATCTGTCACTGTTTTTCTTCTAACTTGAACTATGTTGATGATAAGGCTCTGACAGAAGTATACTAATTAGTGATTCATTTCATAGAGCTTCTTTTTTTTCTAATACCAAGTCGTTGCAGGAAGGAAACAGAACAATAATGAAACGTTTTTGTGTTGCAATTACTTTTGTAGGAAAAGAGTCGCTCTCGAAATAAGATATGTCATAATTTTCATTCGACAGCTTCACATTGAAAAAAAATAGAGAACAGCTCTTGGATGGACTTGAACCATCAATCTCCCGGTTCGTAGCCGGATGCGTTAGCCGTTTACGCCACAAGAGCACAAGTATTTACAGAATTTTGCGAATAATTTTCATGCCATATTCACTTTCAATAAGTCTTCGGATTGACATAGTGGGATGTGGATGATGGTGAGGTTTGTGAGAGGAACTGTACCCATCCGCACCTAGGCCCATATCTACAATGTTTATGTAGCTTGATGAAGTTAGGAAAAGAGCAGAATCGGAAAAGATCTACAGAAGCTTGTCTTCTCACACTTGTGGCTCATCAAGGATTCATCGTAATTCCATGAACAATACATCATTCGATGCACTAATGTTTGGCGTATAACAGAAAGTAATAATCAAATTACTATGGCACGGAACTGAGTAGTAATGAAGAATTTACTAAGACGTTAGAAAAAAGGTGATGAAGTTAGGATTTCTAACTTTAGAAGTAATTGCCATCAATGAATGTTTGTGTGGATGTGTTGGTGTGTGGGTGTGGATGGGTGTAGGTATCGGTAGGTGTGAATGTGGGTGTGAGTGAAGAGAAGGTCCACACCTCATACTCGCCCACATGCACATGCACAACCACATCGACACTCACCTACATCCAAGTCCACACATACAAACCTCGGGGTCTCTACAATTTGCAAGAAAATACAGAACACTTGTATTTAACAGACTCTCGTCAGCCAAGAGTTAACTGCATGTTGCACCGTATTAGTTCTTAACACTGTGTTCGTGCAATGCACAGGATACCACTTACGGTCTCCACCAATGGTGCTGCTCTATGTTAAGTGTGGGTATGACTTAAGAGAAAGCTCACGCTGAAACCCAATCCCATAGCTCACTTGCTACCACACACCATATTCACATCGACCGACGCCCTCTATTGATCACTAAAATACTTCTGCTCAACAATCCTGAAATATTGAAGAAAAAAAGCAAAATACAATGAAGCAGGCTGACTCAAACGACAAAACCGCAAACAATAGCACAAAAAATACTTCACAGTTTATCAGTCATCATAACATAGCTCAAATAAAAGATCTAGAGCAAGAATTTCCCTACATATTGCAATATCTTCCCATTGAAAACTTTTCTTCTTTGGCTCTTCTATCACTCATACGGTACAGATCAACATCGAAAGAGTTCCCTCTAACAGTGCAAAAAATCGGATACTGACCAAGAAGTTCGAATATGGATGGGTGTCGGTGAGTGCCTCACACTCACACCCACACTCGAATGTGAAGATACCTCAGCAACTAGAAGATTTCCCTGCAATTACAAACAAATTCTTTGAGTAAATTCTGAAATTACTGGGTTCCAAGGAGATAACTTCCAGATGATTTCCTCACAATTAAAACTCTTGAAATACCAGAGATTATAGAAATTAATTAAAAGCTTAGAAAATTGCTAAGAATTTCCAGTAAATACGAAAATTTCTACACGTATATTACGTTGTGATTTCAATCTATACTAATGATTGGAAAAAGCGTCTACTCATTAAAATATTGGCAATTTTAGAAATTAATGAGAAATGCCAGTAATTATTGAAAAATTACGAGAAGTTGCGTAGTTTCTCAGCAATAGCTGGAAATTCTCAATATTGTTGGGCTAAGATTCTCTATTTTTATAGATTTATTTCTTTATCTATTTGCATTAAAGATAAAGAAATTATGGAAATCTTCGTAGTCGTCTGGTAATTACTGAAAATTCCATAAAAATGATCTAGAAATATCTTTTAATTTTCAGTATTCTCGAAAGTGACCTGAAAAAATCATTCTCATGTGATGATAATTACTGTTATGTTCCTCATATACGTTAATGTCTTTGTTATCTGGTGGCAATTTCTGAAATTTGATAATTTATGAGAGTAATTTCCTTTTTTCGAAAATTAAAATACTGCTGATGTAGTTGCTATGATCAATCTCAACAAATAATTCAATAAACTAAGTGTTATAATACGAGAATAGTTGGCAACAACCAAATTTATGTCAAGATTAAGACGAAAAATGATATTTTTCTGTTGAACAAGAAATTTGTTCACTTGTTCACCTATTAATCCATAGTCGTACGAGATGAGATTGATGTCGGTTAACTAAATATGTTTTTGGCAAAGAATTTCGCAACCATTCTACAAGTTCATCTTTTGAACATAATAATGAATTATTGCTCCAATTATCGTCTTGACATTCACAATTCAATGCTCGAAGATTGTGCATCTTATGGACAAGATCAAGGATAATTGTTCGATTTTCAACACGAATTTCAAGAACTTCACATTGATGTCCGAATAATGAATCAGCCAATATAGAACATTGTGTAGCGTTCATGTAGCGATTCATTCTAGCACGATAATGTTTCAATTGAAGTCGACGAAGTGATGTATAGCTGATATTCAATTGTACCAATGATAAAAATAATATCGCATCAACGCTCAGAAAATCTAGGCGAGGTGCTCGATTAAGTAAATCTTCCAGTAGAAATTCTGATCTACTATTTTTTCGAGTTTCAATTACATTCAATGATGTCAAATGATCCAATGTCGGAATGATTGTCCAAAAATGATTATTGCAAGGAAATCTTAATGTTAAGCGACGAATGTTCGGGAAGCATCTAGGCAATAAAGTTAAATTATCTATACATCCTTTATAAAATACATTCATTACTCGATCATAAGAGTTATAATCGCGAGCAGTAGGACAAGTCGTTTTCGACCATTGATTCTGATAAATAACATAAGTGTCACTAAAACAATATGGTAATGTGTAAAGAACAAATACTTTATTGATATGTTGTGGCCAATTGCATCGAATAAACCATTGATGCTCGTCAAGCCAAAACGGAGTTCGAAAAGTATCCAAGAAATCTTCAAGTTGTTCTTCCGTGTAATTATGTCTAAATGAAAAAACTTTCATTAGAAATCGAAATATTTTAATCTTAGGTACATAATCAATTAATATTTGTTTCCATTGATTTCCATTCAAATTAATCGTTTCTGTTTCGAGTTTTAAATGTAGTAAATTAGGCATATTTTGTAAAATACTTGTCAATGCTAATAGTGAACCATTGAAATCAAGTTTTAAAGTAGTGATTAATGGAATCGGAAAAACTCGATCTAATTTAGTGTCAATACTCTGTCCAAATGTAATGCAAAGATGTTGAAGAGAAGGTGTTGAACGTAATAGATGATTAAGTTCCCTAGAAGAAAATATAAAATTTTTTATTGACAAATATTTGATAGACTTTGAAATTATTGGTAATCCAATAAACGTAAGTATAGGTTCAAAAGTTATATCCAAAGTACAATGTGTGAGATTGATTAGACGCCAAATATCAATAATTAGTTGTTGGGGACTCTTACCATATGTAAAGTGACATTTGATGATTTTCAAATGAGTAAGATATGAAAGATAAAAGAAATCTGATGTAATATTAAGAATTGTATCTGCTGAATCAATTTTTTCAAGCAAAAGTGATCGTAAATGAATAAATTCATCGATTGTAAGACAATAATGAATCAGATGTTCAGATAATTCTGGAGTTTCTTCACCGTTTGATAAACACAATGAACTGACATGATCAATAATTAACGGCAAATATTGTTCACACATAAGATGAAAATTTGATTTCGATATAGAACGAAAATCTAGACGATAAGATCGAAAATAAATGAAGAGAAGTTCGTCGAAACGAATATTAAGATCTTGAAAAGCACGGATGAGTTCAATGGGATCGAGAAATTCGAATAGATCATGAAAAAATTCATTGGGTAACCATTCCAACTTCATCTTTCTTTTTCTTGGCAATAGAAAAACAAAATATCGTACGGTGTACTTCTTTGTTTGATGAAAATACACACGTCTGTCTTTACTTAACGTGTTTTATAGGTTTGCATTCGTTCTATGATGGATGTCGCAATTATTAGTCGTCAAGTGAATCATATTACTCTCTTTCGTAAGAAAGACGATGATTGGGCAGGAGAAAAAAAAACAATTTGTAATCCTGAATTTCTTTAATTTCTTTGTTTCGACAATGAGAGAAATGATAGAAGTTAGTCACTAAGACAAATTAGGTAAACTAACACGAAAAAAAAAACAAAGGTTGAAGTCGCTTGAAAATATATTCAAATAAGTTCAGATTAAAATTCCTTTTTACAATAAAGAGAATATAATGACGTTCTATATGTAGAACTATCGCAATAGAATTATTCAAAAAAACAATTTTAAGGGTGTGAATGTGACGTTCACCCACACCCACAATGATTATTTTGAATAATATTGCGATGGGAGCATCTGCGACAAATTGATAGGTAATCTCTTTAATGCATAATGTTCGTATAAACATGCTTATTGATATTAGACGCCCGGCATTTGACTGTAAATTTTCCAGATCAATTTTACCTAGACATTGTTCCTTTGAACACTCGTATTATTTGCTTCTTCTTGCTGTATCCATAATTCTTTCAACTTATTATATACAAGTATAATAACATATCGAAATTTGCCAATTAAATGAATATTTTGCTTACGAAATGCTTTATTCAAAAGTCGATAGACGAATGAATCATTTTTGTATACCATTCTGATATATTACCATTTGTAAAAGGATTTGCTAAATCATTAATATTAATTAATTGAGTTGTTGAATTATCTTCATATTCTAATTGACATTGTTTCATTATCTCTTGTTTTTTAAGTCATTCATATTGATATGAGAAGAATCGGTAAGATGACAACTGAACAATTTATTCATATAAACATCAATGTGTTGACATTTAAACTCATTAGAAACTGTTCAATTTTAATTTCATTAAAACATGAGAGAGTGATTGATAAATCGTTTCTATATGTTCATAGAATATTTTGATGTAATCGTTCAATTAATGTACGTTCATCTATAAAAACATCAATCAGTTTCGGATATTTTTGTTTTTCATATTTCGTATTTTGACGTTCTCTTTTCAAAACATAAATTGAATGTACAAAGGTTATTTCATAGATTAATTTTCATACATATCAAATTCGAAATCTGATCTCTAAGGGCATGTTTGTTTCACCGCGCTGAATTTAATATGTTTGTCTTTAATTATTTTAAAGATAAGAGAAAAACGAACTGCACATAGGAAGGCAATTTCAGAGATATAAAGTGCTATATATGTAGTTGATGATTTAATTCACATGAAAATAAGCGATTGAAGCGTTAGACATAGATATAGTATGTTTAACATTTCTCGATTGCTATTCTATCTTGAAAGTATTTCAAAAGTTACAAATCAGAAGATTCAGTGGTAAAATTCTATCATTGATTTGTGCTTTACACTTAATCTAAAACATTCAATATTGCATTTAGAGAGTGTGGGTGGTGTTTGGAGCAAGTGTGTGAATGTATATGAATAGAAAATAATACCAACACCCATATCCACACTTGCACTCGTTAGCACCTGCCGTAATCACTATTACGGTTCTAGACAAGACCTCCTTTTTTCTTTCTTTTCTTCTTTATCTAACATAACCAACTGTAACTATCCTTTTTTTTTTACTTTGCCATATGTTTTTATTTTATCGATACATATAGCGACTATCTTCTTAGGTAAAAACTTGTTGTTCATGAAGACGAATGGCGGCGAACATAGGTACAACTCTCGTTATGCGTGATGACTATAATGAAAATTGTCGTCCCCAATTGGCGGCTGTTGATTCAACAATTCTATATATTCGTGAAGCAATCAACGTGCTTGATATTCAACCTTCTTCTTCTCCTTTCATCATTGCCGATTTTGGTTCAGCTCACGGATGTAATTCGATGCATGTTATGAAAGTGATCATTCAATGTCTGAAAGAGACCAATAAAGTAGACGATGGAAAACAAATTCTTGTTGTCCACAATGATCTACCCACGAATAACTGGACAACACTTTTTGATCTTCTTAATAAAGATAACTCCTATCATGGCGTGGCTAATGGTCGATCTTTCTATGAACCATGTCTACCCCAAAATTCTCTCTCGATCGGTTATTCGTCCACTTCACTTCATTGGCTTTCCCGTAAACCATGCAATATATTAAATCATTGTGCATCTCTATTTGCACAAGGTAACGAACTCAAAGCATTTCAAGAGCAGGCTCGTCTTGATTGGACTCATTTTCTCGAGCATCGGTCACATGAATTAATTTCCGGTGGCGTACTCATTCTTCTTATTCCTTGTGTTGATGATCAAGGATCGAGTGGTTTCGATATTCTCAGAGAACTTCTCTATAAATGTACTCAATCTCTACTTACTCCGCAAGAATTGCTTGATTACACATTTTCGATACATATTCGTTCATATTCAGAGTGTATCGATGACCAACTCTTTGCTCGTTGTTCTTTGGAATTGATCAAGTCCGATTTTGGTTCAGTTAAAATGCCTTTTATCAAGCAATGGCAAAACGAACAAATGACTCTGGATGAATTTGCTCGATCAACGACATTATACACTCGTAGTTGGTCTGAATTGACTCTTAAACAGGCACTATTGGTAAATAATCGATCAAAACAAGATATCGAACAAATACTAGATCAATTTTGGTCTTTATTCAATTACAATACAAGAAAAGAATTTAATCAATTATTAAATATTTGCATGAATTATACTTATTTAATTTTGAAAAAAAAGAAGAGAAGTCTTGAGTAACAGATCAAAATATATAAACAAAATTTTCTTATTCATCTCCTATTGTATGCAGCAAATTGATGAGAAACTAGCATGAACACAACGCAATACCGCGAACTATGATATTGTTTGATTCACAATAGTTACAACCAATGAAAATTCGAAAAAGTAGAAAGCATCGATATGGAGAAAGTATTGTTGAACATGACTTTCGTTAGCTACGAAAATCGTGCGTTTATATGAGAGTGTAGAACTTTTATTTGTTTTCATCAAATTTGACGCGCTTATACTTAATATGTTAGATTTTTCCGGTCAGAAAAAAAAACTAAATGTCTTTTTATTAAGCTATCAATGATTTCAACGTTTTTGTATATCTCTCAGCCGGGTACTTTAATGATGAAAATAAATGTAAATATTTACGATTACATGTTCAGTATTCTCTGATTTCATCATATATCTGAACTCAACTGTTGTATTAACAATTACAAGTTAACACTCGAAAAGAAAGGAAAGGGATGTGAGTGCGGATGTAGTTCTAAATCTATGAGCCACTCATATCCACATCTATATTCGAAATCATTAGAAAGATCGGACGCACTCGGCTCAAGCTATGCGTGTTTTGGTATAGAGCTGTGTACACCTTCAACTCTGTTGTATGTTCCAAATGACGACTGAATATGAACTTCACATTTTATCTCATCCGAAATAAAGAGATAAGATGTCTTGGCGACTGCAAGACCATAAACAACCCCAACACTATAAAACATGAAAATCGCTTTTTCTTTCTCTTTTCTTTCTTCATAGCCATCGCATCGAATAGGCTCTTTTCGGTCGCAAAAAACTATTAAGATTGTCAAATTTTGAAATGTTTCCAATCAACGAAACTTTATTATGGATTGAAGGTTGTCTTTCGTTTCCCCTTGTCAACGAATTCGCAAATGAATTGTTGAACATACAAACGATTGATCGTGCCATGGAAAAAGCAACAGTTTGCTGATGTAAACAAACTATATATAACAGATAAATTGGGCAGATTATTCAATCATTTTTCCACTTCATGTTTCATATTTACTTTTTGGTAAGACGAAGGTAAGTTATCTCCGTGAAACGAAGATTTCTTTCATGCAGTTCAGAGAAATTAGCGTTGCAAATGGCGAGAAGATTGAATGCTGCTAACCGAAACCTTGCTTTTGAAGGAGAGTTGGAGACTTGCCCATGCGAGGACTTACTGATACAACCCTAGAACATCGAAGAGTAGTCTCGTCATTCCAAATTTATTACACTCTGGTTCCTCACGAACGCTGTATGTTTCTCTATTTTGTTCACGTTATTCACTTCAGTCAAAATCATAAAATGCGAAGAACTAACACCGATACTGCATCAGCGAATTCTATTTTTTGCAGTGGAGTATTAATGAATGATAATTATTTTCTATTCGAGCTTATTCAAGGCTTCTGTCCATGTTGCGTAATAGAACACTCAAGTTTTATGTTGAAAACTTTCAATTAGATTCGAAAAGCTATCGTCTTACGGAATGATGCCGGAAGCCATAAGATGAATCACTGAAGCTATGACCACCAAATGCGAACTCTCCTCTAAAGAATTATTGATTCTTCACTCTTGAATTTCTGAACAATCACTCCTAAAATTATCAATATCGAAAACGATGAAAAAAATGAGTCTTTGTTGCCTACACTAACAACTATTTAGTCTATGGATGTGTTCTAACATTCTGACGAATAATTGAAGATTCAAGTTATTCAGCAAGTACTGTGTATATAATTTCAGTTCCATTAGTCATGGAATGGAAACTGGTGGATGTGAGTGGGCGTTGGTCGAATACGAGAAGGCTCATACTCAACCTTACCCGCGTCCATTCATCGATACAACTACGGTGTGAACTGTAAATTTTTGTGATGGTGTCAACTTTTGTATGTCAATGTATCAATTAATACCCGATGAATTGTTTTTGGATTGAAGTTTCTTGAAATCACTGACAACCGAAAAAATCACTAGCACCACATTGGAAGCACGACGCAAGTTGGCACTTGGCATTGGCATTGGTAAATATGAGCATTGTAAGGAACTAGAAAATCAGAAAAGTGACGCAGATGATCTGGCATTCGTTTTGGAGAATATTGATTTCGAAGAATCAATAGAACTCGACGACATAGGCCTATTTGATTTTGTCGGACATGGAGTACAATGGGAAGTATGGGTGTTGATCTTCTCTTCACATCCATCCACACCAGTATATGAACCGTCAGCACATGAAAATTTCCATAAAACGTGATTTTTTATATATCATTCAATGCATCGGAGATCACTCTGCAAAACCATATAGTATATGATATCCTGGTTCAACATATGTTATCAAATCCGATGGAGTCCTTTCCATTGCTAGCATGACATAGTCCAAGCGAATAGACTGATTCGTTTGTAAAACTTAACGCCTAGACATCGACACTTAATGTATCCATTACTTTTCTCTTCTGATTAAAAACTCTTATATTGAAATAGCTAGCATATATATATATATATATATATATATATATATATATATATATTTGTTACTGATAAAGACATCAAATCATCATATTCAACATACCACATAAAATGAATATAAATAAGAAACTGTTGAAATGCATAACATCTTTTTAGGTTTACTTTTTTTCAAAAGACAAAAAATTTACACAAGAGATCACTTATATATGTGTATAATATGCGAGAAAAAAAATGTTCAATGAAAGGAAATGGCGACACTACTAACGGCGTGTAACATTTGAGATAGAGAAAAAAAAGAACGCAACAATGCACGATAGATTATTTCATTCTTTTGTTTTATTTTTCGTGCACAAAATAAAGAAATGCCCATTATTAAATATATATAATAAACAATAAAGAAGCAAAACATTAAAAAAAAATAATTAACCAATGTTATGTTGTATTATGAAGAAGTCCATCAAGAACACGAAGTCCATTTTGAGTAAGTGTACCCATATTTTGGCTATAACCACCAAGACTATCACGTGCAAAAGTCGATGTTGTTGTATTAGAATAATTTCCATATGTTGGACGACGCTGTTGTTGTTGTTGTTGATATTGTCCAACATAACCGCCAAATGATGATGGTGGTCCAGTAGTTGGCTGTTGTTGATTATAATTCATTGGTGATGCTGATTGAAATCGTGCTTTAGTTCGATTATCAGCTGCAGAAGTAGGTCGAAGATTTGATGTCTAAATTTTAAAAAAACAAACAAACAAAAATCTATATTTTTAATTATGAACATAAAACAAATGAAATTTACAAATTTATTATTAACTCTTGCTTGTGCTCCACTACTTTTATCACTTGGACCGCCACGTTCATCATTAAATATAACAGTTGGACGCCGAATATAATAATTATTACTAGTATTGTTATTTCCACCATTTGTTTGTTTAGTTGGTGGTGGTGTTGGTGTTGGAGCTGAACCTGAACGAAAACCACGATTTGCACTTGTTTTTTCACGCATTAAATTTCCATTATTAGGTTTCTAAAAGATAATTCATTTTAGAAATTTTTACTAACGAAGGAATTATCCAAAGTGATGCCTACTATCTGAATTCATATTTGGCTCATAGATAAGTCTCTGTGAGAATAGCAAAAGTCTAAATGGGTTCGTCTCCATGGAGCCTTTGGCGTCGAGTTATTGAATTTTCAAGTGAACTCGATTTCAACATGTTGACGAAGGAACATTCTTTTCAGCTGAAATATTTAGAATATTCTAAGAGTCATTAGACCTATCTATAGGCAAAATTTTAGATCAAAATTCTTTCATTTGATTTTTTCTTTCTGGAACTACTCCTCGCGAAACCAATCATAACTTGGTGACAAAGACCCTATGGAAATGAAGCTTTTTAAAATTTTGCTATTCTTACTGGAATCTGTCTGTAAGTCCAATATGAACACAAATAGCGGATGTCAATTGGGGTAGTTTCTTCGTAATAGAAAAATGAATATTTACTTGATAAAGTAAAGATGAACTGGATATATTTCGTTGTTTACCACTTATTATTCGTGGCTGTCCTTGTGTTGAATGTAAACCATTATAACTATTTGATCGACCAAGAAGTCCTAAAGGGAAAAAAATCAAGAAATAATCTATAGTGCGAAAGCCTTGACACAACATATTCATTCATTTTTCGGCACGTAAACAACAACTGGGTAGAGCCAAATTTTACGTTGAAAGGAGCTCTTGAAAAAATGCTTGGGTAGAAGCTACAGTATAGTTCAATATCACGTTTTGTAGAGAAGTGTCCGCTCTATAAAACGATCGACTCTGACAATCTTTAACACGCTCGAAAAGAAACTTATAGGATAAACAAAAACCTATTGGCTTACAATTTTCAGATCTTTCAAAAAGTCCTGTGACTGCTAAAGAATTGAAACAACACTTCTAAGCCCAGAGCTGAGCAAATACGGACTTTTTCGAGTACGAGTACGAGTACGTGATAGTCTGTTTCCCAAGATCTCAATATAGAAAATTTGATTAGTCGTGTTAGAGATGATATATTAATTTTTAGATCGCGAAGTCGTTTAAGGCATGAATCAAAATGTTTTAAATCAATATTTTTTATTATCAACTTTCAAAAAGTCAACTTAAAACAAAACTTTATTACATTTAAGAAAAGTAAGCAAGCATACACTTTTTGAAGGTAAAGATGCACGATGTGGATGCATTATAAAATCACTTTGAGAAAATACTCTTTCAATAGGAGCTGATGTCGCCGGCACTGGTAAGTATTTCAGACCAAGTTCATATAAAGAAGGATAAAGATTTTTCTTGAGGAAAAGTAAATTACTTTCATCACTTTTTTCCGATAGAAAAGTATCAAGCTCTACTAAAATTTTTTGTTTCTCATCAAAAGAAGTCTTTTTTGTATCATTCAAATAAGGAAAAAGACATTTTCTTTTTGGTATTGCATCAAAATGTTTTGTCAGCTTTTCGCTAGCATCTTGTTCAAGTACGTTCGGCTCATCAGCTCCCTCTTTCTGTAACACAGAAAAGGTCAACTTTGAGAAAAAACTACCAAAAGAAGTATGAATTTTTTTCTATAACACGCAGCTTTACCACAACTTAAAGATTATCAAGTCATAACAATTTAAAACGTGCATCGAAAACAGGTGCACTGAGAAAAATAGGATCAGAAAAAGTTCAGACATAGAATAAAAAGCAAATGGAATATCATGACGTAGCGTCTATGTATTTATCTAAATATATGTATGTATGTGTGTGTAAAAGGAAAGGAAGAAATCACCTGTTCATTACATCATCGAAAAAAATATACTAAAATTTTGTATAGCATTATTGTGATATCATGCATACTTAAAATTTCGAGTATTCAGCCCTCGAGTACGAGTACTTCGAGTATTTTGCCTAGCTCTGCCTAAGCCCATATTCAAATTCTGGTTGCAACCTATAGTTTTTGTAAGCTGAAATGAACAAATATGTTCATCGAAAACAGCGGCTCATAAGTTTCGTTCGAACTAATTTTTTGGGTTTTTTTAAAGATTATTTCACTATTCTCTCGGAGAAAAACTGAGACAAAATTTCTAACGAAGAAATCACCCAAGGTAATACCTCGCGTCTGAGATGAGACTGCAATCGTTACGTACAGCCTGTTGACACTAAAAGGATTCTTCTCCATGCGTTGTCTTTTTTAGTAAACGAATTTCGGTCTAAAGTTTAATTCTGTAGACAGCTCTCGAGATCATTAGAATCTGCTAAAAAGTTTAGCTAAAAAGAGGGGTCACCTTCTCAGAGCAGTGAACGTGGAAAAATCCTTCTAAGTTTTTTCAAGTCACAACAGAGTTCACATAATGACTGCGACTTTATCTCAACCTTTGTTTCAAAATAATACTTGTACAGAATATTGTTTTAATCAATTTTGTGTTCCGATTGAAATCTATTAAATTGAATATGCGCAAAACAGATTTTAATCGGTCAGTTTTATTTGCTCGACAAAGTGTGCTATTTACTTTTGTATTTTTAAAGACGGTTTTTGAAACAGCGATTTGTTTTTTACTAATGCTAATTTTCATAGAAACTAGCTCTTTAGGTAGAAAGGTATAGATGAGATTAAAACAGCCTTTTTTTTGCTTGGTCCAAATACAATTTTGAATTTTTTTTACAATATTTACTGATAATTCTTCAATCTTATCCGAGAAGGAAAATCTGAACATATATTTGAAAATAGTAAATATTTTATGTCAAAAATTTTCATGGTATAAATTAAATTTTGATACGAACCAGAATAAGAGGTTGTTGAAGGATTTTTACTAAATTGTTGTTGTCCAGTTGAATAATCATTTGTTGTTACTGCTGTTGGATAATCATCATCTCTTGTATCTTCAACATATCGATTTTTATGTTCAGTTGTATAATTTGAATAAATTCCTCGATTTCCTCCATCATTTTTTATTATTTGAGATGATGAATTTATTGTTGGTTGTTTATAAGCATCATATTCAGATTGATCAATATAAGCACTTGCACCATAACGTTGTTGTTGTTGATCGATTGAATTATCACGTGATCGTGGAGGAGGTGGAACATCAGAATTTGAGGAAGACATATTTGTATTCATTTTTGCTGAAACTTTACGTAATTGAATTAACTGTATTTTATAAAAAAAAGTAAAAAAAACCAATGATGATGTTTCTTTTTTTAATGATCTAGAACAATACAAGTATTTACTTCGTATAATTTTTTTCGATATTCATCAACAGTTAATTGTATATCATCACTTAATTGAGGTACAACATCATAACCTTTGATAATTTCTTCATTTGGATTATGAAATCTAATTAATAAAATTCGAAAGATTTGAATAGAATGAAAGAAGGAAAAAAATAACAACATACGAAACAACAAACGGATGACGAAGTCCATCTTCAGCTGTAATTCTTTTATCAGGATTAAAATGAAGAAGACGACGAAGTAAATCCAGAGCTTCTTCACTAGCATTAGGAATAAAATGTTCAAGTGATTTTTTTTGTCTATTAAATATAATAATTAAAATAGTAAAAAAAAATTTTTTAAATATAAATGAATAAATTATACCCAGATGATGCTCGTTCTAATACACTTGGTCCATAATGTGATCCAATACTAGCAATATCTGATTGACTTGGTGTTGGAATATGTTGTAGAATACGTTCTAATTGATTGAATGTTGATGTTCCTTGAAAAAGTGGTTTTCCAAGTAACACTTCTCCAAGAATACAACCTTAACAAAAAAGATAAAGGATTCGTTTGATTTTATATTTAGTTCGTTCGAAGATTTTCATCAAAAACAATAAATAATTAGATAGTTTGTTCAATGTTTTTTACAAATGCATTGATGTTTTGTTTCAAACGTTTTTTCAAACTTATATTCAACTGTCGGATACCATTCGCCTTCATATTATAATTAGGAGTAGATCTTGATGAGACGAACGAGAAAACACTCGTAAGTGATCCAGTCCGTTTGTCAATATATAGGAGACTACTGGAGTAACGGAACTTCAAAAGATTTTGTGTTCTTGATTAGATTCGATCGAGACAGCGAATTTTTAGTAGATTTCTTCTGCAGGAATCAAGTTTTCGGAATTTCGACCTGAAGTTTTGTAAGCATCTCGATTAGATTATCTTATATGCAAAGTTTCATCAATTTTGAATATCACATTCCAAAGATATGAATTTCTCAATATATTCCTAGCTTACATAACACTTGAAGAAAACCATAGATATATTTAGAAATCCATATCTTAGAAATGTGATATTCAAAACTGATGAAACTTTGTATATGAGATAATAATCGTCCAGAAATTTGAAATTCAAGGAATTCATGGAAATCGAATAGCATTCAGTATTTGGAGCGTCCACGTCAGGCTTGTATGTGTCAATGTTTTAAGCCCTCTCATTGTAGAATACCTTGGAATTCACTGTTTGGTGTTCTTAAATTGGGATTGTATGTGTCAATCTTTACAACTCTTTCAATGGACTTGTGCGCCTTAGGGTTTCGAGCCATCCTCATTCTGAAATGTTTTGAATTCCGACTCAATTGCTGTTGAATTTCCAATTTCTGGATGATGTGTAGTGCTGAAATCGAATTACATCCAACAGTTGAACATGTTTTCTCTTAACAGTCAGTTGACATGGTATCGGCATACACCTATACTCAATCTATGATTATTATTATTTTTTCAATAGCTATAATATGACTTCTTTCTCTTTAAAAGGGACAGTTTCTATTAGTAGAAGCATTCGTTATAATCTTTTAACAATAAGTTTGTTTTGACTCACCAATTGACCACATATCAACACCTTTTGTATATCTAAATATATTCGAAGATTATATAATCTATTATATCTAAGAAAAATTTACTTGGATGAAGCAAGTAATATTTCTGGTGCACGATACCATCTTGTTGCTATAAAAAAAAATATATTATAATCTCATGAAGGAATGTTATCAACTTAACAGTTGCTTTTTTTTGGATGGAAGCTAGTAGATTATGGGTTATCGACCATGACAATGAGATATTCCCTTAGGTCTTCATATGCTGGTGTTTTTTTTTAGACTAACAAACTTTTTACCAAAAATTGTTTCTCCTGTATTCAAATCATAGAGCTTATCAAATTGTCTAGAAAACAATAACGTTTTCTGTTATAAATCGTTGTTGCTTTTAGAAAGTGCAACCATTTTAATTCATACAACAGATATATATGAACATTTCAATATGAAAATCTTCAAGATGATATTGTTTTTCTCACAACAGAAAACATTATTGACTTATAAACAACTCGATAAATTCTGAGTAGATCAAAAACAAATTCAAAAAAATGTTTGTTAGTCTAGAAAATCAACATATAAAGTCCTAAAGAAGAGTTTCTCATGATAATATTCGATAACTTATAATCCATAAGCTTTCGTTTAAAAAAAAAACGTTCTCTTATCAGTTAGATTTTTCTTAGAATCAACATACCAACATATTCTGTCAAAGCTGGATGTTGTGGATCTTCATAAACGTGATTTAATGATCTAGCAAGACCAAAATCACATATTTTAACACGACATTGTTGATTAATTAAAACATTTGATGGCTAAAATAAAATTAAAATAAAAGTCTTAAATATTTCTTTCTAAAAGAAAAATCTTTTACTTTCATATCACGATGAATAACATTTGCAGAATGAAGATATTTCATTGCTTTTAATAATTGATACATAACATAACGTTTATGTGTATCTTTAAGAATATTTCCTTTACGTATAACATTATGAAGATCAGCCTCTGAAAATTATTTAAAAAAAAATATAGAATATTGTTGTATTTTTGTTTTCTTCTTTACCCATAAATTCAAAAATAAGATAAATATCTCGATCATTATCAGCTCGTAAAACATTTTGTAAACGAATTACATTTGGATGTTCACCAAATTCACGTAAAAAAACTATTTCACGATATGTTCTCTATACAAGAAGAAAAAACAAATCATTATTTATTTATTTTTGTTTTCTTTCATACTTGTGCATCAGTTTGATTACGAAATGCATCAAAAATTTTTTTTAATGCAACAATTTCTTTAGTTCGTTTATCAGTTGCTTTCCATACGATACCATAAGCTCCTTTTCCAAGACGTTTTTGAATTTCATAGTGACGTAAGATATGTGTATCCACTCCTAAAATTTATATTATAATTTTTTCGTGTGTATAAAATCGAAGAAAAAAAATATTTAATTTTACCATCCGACATTTTTCCAATTTATTTTTTATTTTTTTTCTAAATAGATAATAAAATTATTAATCTAAGCATTTACAAGTATTCGTTTTTTTTTTGTTTCGATTTGATTTCAACCATAATAAGTTAAACAAGATGATCAATTACTTGACAACAGTCTCCAAAATGTTTATGTAACAATCACTTTCAAACAGATGTCACTCATTGACATTTAAATATGATTGATTTGATTCTCATTCAATGTTCTAAATACATGTTGAATTGAAGAAGACATTAAAAAAAATTAAGTCCGTATTACGTTGACTTGCTTAATCAAATTAAAGATGATTGAAGATTTTTCTTGTTTATTGAATTATATCTACTGCAAGAAAAAAATGTTCTTTCTTGTTAAATAATGCTATTGAGATAGATTATTTTATGTATTTTCGATTCATTTTGTCAATATTTTGATCTTGTCTTTTTATAATGAAATGACCTATGCTTTTTATTACATTCATTTGTTTTTTTTATTGATAAATGTCATTTTCTACTTAACGAATATAACATAAAAATCAAGTTGAATTGATCAACTGTGAAAAACTAGGATAAAGAATCTCGAATTGCGTGTCACGTACGATAAAAAAAAATACATGATAAAACAAAACTTCTTAATGTATATATTCTTCGACAAGAAGTATGAGTTTGTTTGTTCGCCTCTTTCCTCTTCACAAAGAAAAAAAATACGTCTACGATTTTGATTCAGTCTCAAATAAAGGTCAAGAAAAAAAATATGAAGATCAATCTTTCTATGCCAATGCAAAAAGAAAAAAAACAACAATCATACACCTAGATATGAGTATTAAACGTAAAAGCGTCTTTTCATCTATTGCTCGTCCATCGGCAGTTACAATTTATTCGACAACATTATATTCAAATGATGAAGATGATCATCGTCGATTACCACGATATTATTCAGCAATCTATAGTCATAAAGCTGATGTATATCGTGTTCTTGAAAGACAACAAGGTAGACATACACTTATTTATCATTTATTTGTTTTTTGTTTAACATTAATTTCATTGGTATTTGGTTCAATATCAACTATTGATAAATGGCGATCAACATTAAATAAACCATTATATTATGGTGAATTAGGTTTATGTATATTTTTTACCTATGAATTTTTATTACGTATATGGTCAGCTGGTTGTCTTGCAAAATATCGAACATGGATTGGTCGTTTAATGTTTATGACTCGATCTGTAATTGTACTTGATATATTAACACTTCTTGGTTTTGCATTATCTATATCAACAGGTATAACAACTGGAGAATTTCCAGAAATAATTTTAAAATTTTTACCATTATTACAAATGATTCGATTTATACGTGTTGATCGACAATTAACATCATGGAAAATTTTAAAAGGAATTATTTTAAAACATCATCAAGAACTTACAGTTACAATAGTTATTGGTTTTATGTTTCTTATAACAGGTGCTTATCTTGTTTATATTGCTGAAACACCAGTAGATCCAAAGTTAAATACAGGTTCATATAAATCTATGGCAGATTCAATATGGTTTTCAATTATCACAGTAAGAAATTTTCATAATGAAAATATTTATCATTGGTTCTTATATATACAATTTAGATGACAACAATTGGTTTTGGTGATATTTTTCCTAAAACCTATATAGGTAAAATTGTAACAACAACAATTTGTTATGTTGGTGTTGCATTTTGGTGTTTACCAGTTGGCATTATCGGAAGTGTAATTGATTTGTTGTTGTTTTTTTTCTTCATTCTATCATTTTTCTTATATATATATATATATTTCAAGGGTCTTGCTATAAAAGTACAAGAACAAAAACGTGACGACGCATTTAATCGTCTTATACCTGCTGCTGCAAGTGTTATTCGTAATTGGTGGCGACTTCAATGTGTTTATCAAGGTGATCGTTTTGTAGCAACATGGAAAATTTATACATTAATGCGGCGACGCGTTCATGTACCTGTACCATCATTAACTCAAGATCTAAGTTCGACATTAACATTAATGAGATCTTTATCTAGTAATTCATATGGAACAAAATCGTTTCCATTTAATCAAGCAAATACAACAACAATACCAAAATTAAATAATGTTCGAAGGAAATCTATAACAAGCATTGAAGATTTACCAAAAGGTTATCTAACAGCAATAAAAATAATTCGTATACTTAAATATTCATCTTCATGTAAAAAATTTCATCAAGCAAAAAAACCAATTAATTTAAAAGATGTTGTTAATGAAAATACTCAATTGAATAATCGTTTATCAATTATATTAAATGATATTCAACGTCGTTTAGATTTAGCATTAGGTACAAAAAAATTAGCATCATATTTAACTGATGAACAAAAACGTCAATTAAGTTTAAGTTCACGTATTGAAAAAGTTGAACAAATAACAAATCAATTTGAAACAAAATTAAATTATTTAGAACGATTAGCATTAACTTTAGTTGAAAAACAATTAAAATAAAAAAAAAATTATTTTATTTTTTTTTAATAAATCATTTAATAAATTATGTAAATTGTTTCATTTATAGTATATGTTTACGAAAAAAAAAAAGATTCTATCATTAATATTCCATTGAATATATAATTTTTATCGCGATGTATGACAACGAATATTATCTATTGTATTTGATAGATTGATTTCTGATTGAATTTCCGTAGAATTCCATTCCCAATCGTTAACAATGATTTCTGGTGATGTTAATTGAAATATTTGATTTTCTAATTTTGGTCTATAAAGCATCCATGATGGTAATATAATAGTTTGTTGTTCAACTTGAATTCTATTAGTTTCTTTATATAATGTTGCACGTATACGTTCTAATTGACGTTGTTCTCTATGTAATATATTTAAACGTATATTTTTTTCACGTTCATAAAATTTTAAACGAACATTAAGAAGACGATCTTCAAGTTTATTTTTTGCACGAATAGCATCACTTAATTCAGTATATCGTTGACAAATAAATTCACCACTACTATCCTAAATTAAAATTATTTTAATCATATTTTGTAATATTATTTCATATTTTATTACGATTTTTGATCGTGCAGATGCCATGAATTTTAAAAGGAAAAGGAAAATATCAAATATTTCTTTTTTTTTTTTGATGTTTTTCATAAGGATAATAATTATTTAGTACACAGTAGGAATCTCAACATGAAATTCTTGTTTTTTTTCTTCTCATTTCTATTGATTTGATTTCAATAACAAAAAAAAAAATACATAGAAATTTTGCTATTTTATTCTCCTTGATGAAAATTTCTTGGCGCCATTTATATCAGTATTTAATTTCTCAGTTATCTTATTGACAAAAAACAAAAAAATAACTTGTAAAATCATGATTGATGATGAATTAATAGAAAAACGTATTGAATTACGACAAAAACTTAAAAGTAAATTATTAACATTATCACCATCATATCATGTTTTAAATTCATTTAATAATTTTATACCAAATTCACGTGATATAGATTTTATTGAAAAACAAGGTCTTGATTGTGTTATAAATTATTTAATTAATAATAACTCAATAGAATATAATGAACAAATACCAAATATATGTTCAAATTGTCAAATAGATTCAACAGAAAATTGGTGGTATACATTAATAAATAATAAACAATTAATTTATTTATGTGATTTATGTGAACAAAATCGTATTAGACATTTTATTCTTGAACAACATCGTCAATCAATGAAATCAGCTTTTTTAAAAGCTAAAGAAATTGAACGTCGTTTAGAAGTTGATTATCAAAAACAGAAACAAACAAAAATCTAAATAAATTTCAAATATTTCACATCTATAACTTATGAATAATGTTCTTTATAGAAAAAAAAAAACAACAAATTAATTGTAAATATAAGAAATATTTTATTATGTAACAAATTCACTGCTATAATCAGTTTGAAAGTCATTTCATTATCAAAAAAAAAAAAAAAACAGAACCATTAAAAATTTTTCACAAGATGAAACATTATTTTTGAAAGAGATTATATTCGTCGTTTCAATGATAAAATCAATCAGTAGAAAAACAATCCGAATAGTTTGCAAAAATATCGTCGATATTAGTCTAAAAAATAATTTAATAAGGTTATTCAATAAATAAAATCACTACGAGTTAAAGAACTTTTAAAAGAAAGAAAGTTCATATGATTCAAACTAGACAAAAACTGACGGTAGACTGTTCGGTATAATATGCGCTACCGGTATCGAACTATCACCGGCATGCCAGCAGTAGATTGCCGGTCAGAGGACAGCCAACGGTTTATCTATATGATAACTACCAAAATCTACCACCGGTTTTTGTTTGAAAGTATCGTACCAGATCGGGTGAATATTTTTGAAGTCTACTAAAACTGACAGAATTGAGTCGTTTTTTGATGCACTCTGATTATGTTGATGCATCTAAGCCGCCTATACTTGCCACAGATCACCCAAATCGATCACAGTTATGAAATAAATTTTTATTAGCAGGATAAATTTTGAAGTTGTCTTCTCGGTTGATTTGAATTCTTTCTACTAATAAATTCGAATTTAGGTAGAAAATACTGTTTGCAATCGTTTTTAACTGGAACTGAAAGTCATAAGTGCTACCAACAGTCAATCGTCGGCATTAGGGAGAGTTGCGAGTCTACATTTTTTTTGTGGATTCGAATCCGAAAAAAATTTCAAATTTGAGCTCGGACTCGGTCGGGTCTAAACCCGAGGGTTTTTCCATCAATGCCTGGCACCCTTCGTGTACATGAACAAGTGAAGAATCAAGGTTTTAGCTATTTATTCGCTACTCTCAGAACTTTGGAGCTGGGCCTGAGTCTGGAAAGACCCGTAGCTCGCTAGTCGGTATACTGTCGATTCTTATGAATACCATCGTATACCGTCAGTAATGCAAATCAATGTGCAACATAGAAATATCATTTTCAAAACGATCTAGTTGCACAAAATCTTTTTATTATATAGGATTTTTAAAGTAGAGATTAATTCCTTAGAGAATATTCATTTTTTCATTATTCTATGAAAGAGCGATAACACTCGATGGTCACGTTATTAGATTGTCTTGCAATGATTGTCATTTGATCACAAAATTTACTCGACAAGTAATAAAATCTTTCTGAGATGAGTCTTCACTCATTAGGGGGTGATCCTATTGATACTAGATAAAATCTAAACGGATTCATGTTTATGAATCTTTCTTCTTGAGTTATGGCTATTTTAATGAGTTTTTCAGCAAAACATCGTGGTCTCTCTCCGATCACATTCAAAATTGGCTTTAGAATTTCAACTCTAAAGAAATTGAGTTGTCTAAGATTAGGTCATTTTCAAAAGTATTCTGTTTTGTCTCCTATGCTGAAATATAAATATTAGAACAAAGTTTGCATTTTCATGTAACAAAGTGTTCAATATTAGTAACTGAAAATATGGAAATAATAGAAAATCTAATACTTTCACAATGAACTAGTCCCATGGAGAACTTTATTTGTGCAAAGTATGAACTTAAAAGTCGATTTTGAAGATGATCTAAAAGGAGCCAAGACATTGTATTGAAACATTCACTAAACTACTCTCATAACTTAAGAATTCACATGCGTGAATACCTTGTCTATTCTCAATAGAATTTATCTAATCTAATAAGATTCATCTCAAAAGCATTAAACGACTTAACAACGTGTCTCACCAGAGATATCAATCGCAGCTGAAATAGGACAGAAAAGCTCGCGCTCTGCGATGGTACTCAAAAAAAAACATATATACTTCGAATTTCACTGCTGTGACTGTACTGAACTAGAACTATTGCTGCTAATCCATGAGATCCATTGAGCCTCAGATTGTTGCATTTGTGAACACTGAAATTTATGCAATTTTGCAACATTTTTCAGAAAAAAGCTGCGACGAACTTTTCTATGTCGAACATAAAACAGTTCTATGTATATCCATTCACAGTCATTCTTTCTAGTTTATCGTGAACCGCAATCTCTTTTCTTGAACGATGCTTTTTGTGATGAAAGTTCGATAAAATCAAAAACAAATAAAAATTTATGCAATTATTAACCAAGAACACGAAAACTATGCTCTTAATTAATTTGATTCAATTCAACGATATAGTAACATATACATTTGTTTTCATTCAACCTTATTTGTAACAAAATATATACTTTAACTATGTTTGTGCCATAGGAGAAATTAGAATTTCACCTAATCCTCGTTCTCAATTTTACTTTATCCTAGAAAAACTTTTACTTTTTCTGATTTGAAATTATTTGCGTCATAGAAAAACTAATTTAATCAACACAGATAAAGGATCTATGACTATATTAGTATCCGTCAGGTCCAAAAATTTTCGGATCAGGACCCAGTCGATTTATATTTTGATACTTTCAATGAAGTTTTCTAATCGGAATAGGATAGTTGAGACCGTAACTGAGCATTTTTCCTGAGTCATTAATACTCCCTCGTCAATTCTGGCGACTCTGAGACACCTTAGAAGGTAAAAATTTTTTTTTCTTCATTCGTAAAAATGATATCTTTTTTGTATTCATGACTTACTAAATAACTTTCACAATCATAATTAATATTTAATTGTCCTATACGTTTTTCTTTTGTAATATTATTATTATGTAATAATAAATGATAATATGCTTGACATGGATTCATTGTTTTAATTAATGATTGGCATGTTAAACATCGATATTGTATTGATACACTTCGACGATTTAAATGTAAATCAAACATATTTTTTGTACTAAATTTATAATGACATAATTGGCATATATATAAATCATTATGATATTCTTTTGTAGAAAATGTATAAGAAAAAATGTCTCTTAAAAATCGATAAAATTCATTTTGTTTAAAATATCTATTTGTTGATGAATATATAGCATATTTACATTTATATAAATATTCATCAGATAAACGTAAAAAATTTGTTGATTGCCAATGATTATTATTAACATTTAATAATTCTAATGAACCTGATTTATAATAACGTTGTTGAAATAAACTTGGACGAAGTTCAATTGGTAAAATAGGAAATAAATATCGACGACGACGTTGTCGTATTAATTGACAATTTGTTTTAATACGTTCAAGACGTTGTCGATATGATGATGATGATGAATAACGTTTAGAATTTTTTTTCGATATATTTATTTCATTATTAATTGATTTTGGTAAGAGATTTTTATAATATGGTAAAAATAATAATTGATTTTCATTTAAATCAATTATTGTATTAGACATCTTGAATAAAATAAGAAAATAATGATTGAAATAAATAAACTATATAGAATTTTTACATTTATCTGGCAGGAAGGTCAAAATAACTTACGTTGCCGATAGCGATCATGAATGTACAACGTATACGTAGCTTATCTCGACTAAATATAACCGATTGTTGTTTATGTTGGTTTGTGTATTCAACATTCTATTGGTTAATACAATCACCTTAGTTACTAAACAATAAGATAAACATATAATGATTTCATTTACATGACATTGACGAGAATGGATACTAAAGGTAATTTTTTATTATCTTGAACAAAACGAAAAACCAAATGATCTATTTTTTTTTCAATATAGAAAATGATTCAAAATTATTTACACCTGGCCCTTTAACGACCAGTTTAACAGTTAAACAAGCTATGCTTCATGATTTAGGTTCACGTGATACGATTTTTATAAATATAATTTCATATATTCGTGAAAAATTACTTGAATTAGCAGGTTGAAGTTGAATTTATCTGAAAAATAAAAGTATCTTTTCTTTTTTTTTGTTTTCAGATGCATCACCAGATGAATATACAACAGTACTCATTCCAGGAAGTGGTACATATGCAGTTGAAGCAACATTTTCAACATCTGTACCACGACAAGACGCTAAAGTAGATTGTTCTTTTTATATGAGGATTTCAATAATTTTTCTTCAAGATTTTAATCATTGAAAATGGTGCATATGGTCAACGAATGATAAAAATTTGTCAAGCTTTAAATATTCCTTATGATGTTATTTCATTTGGTGAAACAGAACGTGTTCAAATTGATCTAGTCGCTAATAAATTAAAATTAAATACATATACACATGTTGCTATTATTCATTGTGAAACAACTTCAGGAATTTTAAATCCAATTGAAGAAATTGGACAATTAGTATATGATCATGGTACAACAAAAGGTGCGTTGTTTTTTTCAAAATCAGTTTCTTATGTATATTCATCTGAATGATTTTATTTTCTTTTTTTAGGTTCAACAGTATATATTGTTGATTCGATGAGTGGTTTTGGTGCTATTCCTGTTAGTCTTCGTAATGGTCATATTACTTATCTAATTAGTTCATCTAATAAATGTATTGAAGGTGTGCCTGGTTTTGCTTTTGTTATTAGTAAACGAAAACATTTACTTACATGTCAAGGTTAAAAAATAGTACATTCTTTTTATTTGATTTAATGTATCATAAAAAAAATACTTTTATTCAGGTCAAGCACGTAGTTTAGTACTTGACTTATATGATCAATACACTTACATGGAACAGAGTAAACAATTTCGTTTTACACGTATGTGAAATTATTCAGAAATTTTTTTTTTTTTTTTTCTTGAATCATTATTTTTGCATTGATATATTTATCTAGCACCAACACATACTATGCTTGCATTTAAACGTGCATTAGATGAATTAGAACAAGAAGGAGGTGTACAAGGTCGAGCTAGACGGTAGAATCTATTATATAGATTAAAGTAATATTCTACTTTTTCTTTTTTTTTCTTATTAGATATCAAAATAATAATAGAGTTATTCGAGA